CAGAGCAGCGACGCCGCAGACGGGCACCAGTTCTTCCGCTCGCCCAGTGCCGCCACGCCACGAGCACAGTGGGATGAGCCTGGCCTCTGGAGGAGCGAGGAGTTTCTGGAGTGCTCCACGGCGGTGCCTAGTGGGCGAGCGGAGCGGCAGTGCCCAGCAGATCAGCCGCAGACCCACGAGCTCCCCGACACCCACACTGATGATGCCAGTCTGCGCTTCAACCACCGCGCCGGCACGGGCATGAGAGAGCGACTGGAGCCGGCGGAGCGGTGCCCGCAGCTGAACGGCTCGCTCGCCCGTGCCGGGTACGGGGATCCGCTGACCGCTGAGGACCAGTCGCCCGGCTCCTCCACCAGTTTGGATGGCCCGCTCCTCAAAGACTACACCCACTTCAACGGGCACTTTAATGGGCACTGCGCACCCAGCCCCTCCGACACCAAGAGCCTGAGCAGCGAGGAGGAGCTGCGGCACCCGGACTCGCCCTCCGCTGACCTGCTGCACTACAGGCCACGCCCCTACAACATGGGTGAGCTGGTCTGGCCAATCACAGGCTTCCCTGCCTGGCAGAATAAGCTGGCAGATGAACATGGGCGCAATCCCAGCATGCAGCTGGCAGAGCAGGCCAAGGTAAGAGAGAGTGTGTGTGTGTGTGTGTGTGTGTGTGTGTGTGTGTGTGTGTGTCTAAGTAACACATCTCCTGCTGGACTCTGCAGGTGGAGCCGGAGCAGCTGAAAACACTAACACATGACCTGCAGGCGCTGGACCGAGCCAGCAAGAAGAGCCGGAAGTGAGTGTCTGCATCCTCAACCATCATACGCGGAGTTGAACACACACACACACACACACACACACACACACACACACACCAACAAACACACACAGACACACACACAGATATTTGTCTGAGAACACTGAGTTAGTCCAGATTATTCCTCCTGAACCTCAGCGCGGGCGAGGATTCCTAAATAACATCCGCTGCGCAACACATTTGCCGGAATAGTAGGCGGTTCATTCCGCTGTGGTGACCTCTAATGTAGAGACTTTGCTGAAGGAGAATGAATGAATGAGTTTGAGTAATTTCAGATGGTCTGATGCTGATAATGATGATATTCTGACTGAATATTCCTGCTTTTGCTGCAGTATGGCCGCTTGATCAGACGCTCTCGACAGTGTTAATCAGATTATTTTGTTTCTGACAGTACAGATGTCACGGTGAGGATTGGTGTTGGCCAGATTTGAAGCTCAGATGTTTGTGTTATCATCATCTTTATCGCTTCAGTGTTTTATTATTGCAGATTTGCATTCCTTTATGTTGGATTGATTATCTTCCCTCTGTCTGACGGCAGTGTGTGTGTGTGTGTGTGTGTGTGTGTGTGTGTTTGTGTTTGTCTGTGTTGTTTTCTTTGTGTAATGCGCTGTGGGCCTCTCTGTCCACAGGGCCGGAAAGCTGAACCATCATCTAGAAGCTGCGATTCACGAGGCCATGAGCGAGCTAGACAAGATGTCTGGAACTGTGAGTGAGATACACACACACACACACACACTTAAGCTCTGCTGTCCTGACGGCCATGCACTGATGTGTTTTGTGTGTCCGTCCGCAGGTCCACCCGGACCGTCAGGTCAAACTGCCCAAACCCAAGAGGAGGAAGATCTCCAGATAACAGCAGCGCTCCTGTGGCTCCACCCCCTTGCTGTGACTCCGCCTCTCTCTTTGATCTCGGTGCTACACTCTAGCAGACGGCTCAGCGTGGCCCCGCCCTTCACACTGACTGACAGGTGCTGGATCAGCCAATTAGAGAAGGCAGACAGACAGCTTGCTGAAGAACTGTTTTTTCAGACAGGAGACGTCTACAGTACTGCGCTCACCACAGACAGTCCAAATATTTCTGATATGTTTTCAGTGTGTATATAGACAATACAGAAATTTCATGGTAAAAACATGGGAAGAAGTGTAAATACTGTAGGATAATGAGATGTACAAGCCAACCCAATGCACACTTTATCTTCAGCTGTACAAAAACACAAAGCAGAAACGTCTGATCGGCCCGTACGGCTCCGCGACGTTACCATCAATAAGAGTCCGTCTGAGACTTTTGTAAGCTTCAGTGTGTGTGTGTGTGTGTGTGTGTTTGTGAGTGCGCGTGTGTGTGTGTCGGACTGGACTTCACCAGCTGATCAGGCTTCTTGACTTCAGCTCTCGGGCTTCTCTGTAAAGTTCAGGTCTTCCAGCACTAAACACTAATGTTTTCACTCCTCTGTCATCGTCTTGCTCACTTTGCTCTGATGTTTTCTGTCCTCGTGCGGCTGCTCTGGCCTTCCTCCATGGTCTTGTCGTGTCTCTGCGTTACACTCGTGTCTGTGAGGTTTGGGTCGAGTCGTTCTCACTGTACTGGCCAACACGAGGGAAACTGGGCTGATCATGTGGAGCTCACTGTTCATCAGGAAACTTGGCAATAACACGGCCCAGTGTACATACTCGCTAAAGCCTTATGCGTGTGTATCTCTCTCACACACTCACACACACACTCGTACCCTTCAGTGTTATTCGGTGAACAGTGTTTTTCTTCATTATGTATTTCTCCTGTGTTGGAGTTTGGCTCATCATCAGATGGAGGTGTGGAGGGTTCATGTTTGTCTCCGCATTGAGACGTTCCTCAGTCACATCAGCAGTGGAGATCACATGACCAGCTGAACACTGGTCGCTCTCACTGAACACTTCATACACACCAAACAGACGCAGGACAGCTGGAGATCTGCTGCTGAATCTCCAGCAGACTCATTCAACCCCTGCTGATGGGTAACTGTTTGTCTGCCCATAGACAGGGTCACCCTGAGAGGTCAGAGGTCAGCGTCGGGCCTTTAGGGTCAGGACAGGTCGTACAGCATTACTGTAGAGTGTGAGGATCTGCCAGTAACACTAACTCAGTATGAAGAGCTGATTCAGTGCATCGTGTGTGTGTAAACTCTAGACATGTGGGGGATTTACAGCTCATCCGGTCACACTCAAAACTCTAAACTAGGCCAGAGTCAACAGCAGACGTCGGTCGATTTCTCTTCTTGTTGTCGTCTTTACTGAAATTTCACTACAAAATTAAGTGCAATATTCACATTCAGTGGAACCGAAAACTAAATCCACACAAATATAGATTAACATGACAGTCCAGAGGTGAAATCACTCAAGCCTGTTCAGCGAGACGAGCAGATGAGTGTGTGTGTGTGTGTGCTGGTGAAGTCGGCTCCGTGTTGTGCTGCGCATCCGTGTTCAGAGTCACTGTTCAAGGTCAAAACATTTGTGTTCATGTGCTCAGTGTTGGCCAAAACTCCTCCATTGCTCTTCTGTTTCTCTCATCTCCTCCAGTGTGTGTGTGTGTGTGTGTGTGTGTGTGCACATGTGCACATGAGTGAGTGTGTGTGTGTGTGTGTGTACATTTTTTGTTCTTTGCTTGCTATTTTCTGACTGGTATCTGACTGGTGTTGCAGACCTTTCTGATGTCCATATTCTGGATGCGTATCTGAGTATATATTTTCTCACCAGTATGTACTTTACAGCAGTCGACTTGCTAAAGTATGTTGTGCACTTGATTATGTTTGTTTCTGATAGCTTTGATGTGGCTGTTAGCTTTAGTTTGTTCAAGTCCATAATTTCTCATGGTTTCTTTTGGTTTTTTAAAGATGTCCTAAACAGCAGTTTTGTAAATATTGTGAACATTACAGGTCATGCTGTGATGTGACATTGAGATGACGTTGCACCAATGTTTCAATTAAAACCTGGTCACTAAATCCGGGCCAAGACTCTAGTTTTTACTGCAGCTTTATATCGGCATCTTCAGACCCCGTTAGAGCTGGATTAGTGTTTATTTTCAGTTTCTCAGTAATCGTCACACCGTTGCCGTGTATTTGATTGATAAATGAATGCATTAATGATTTCTTCAGCTCTGTGTGTTCTAGAGCAGTGGATCCATGAATTTTGAACTTCTTTTACTGTTGTAGCGGTGCGGGATCAGCAGGAATGAGTCAGGAATGCTGATTAATGAGTGATTAATTCTGTTTATTGCATGCTCTCTCCTATAATTAGTGCAGACAGTTGTGTGAAAGATGAATGCATGCTCGTGATGCTGGACCCTCAAACAGGCAACAGAAGAAGAACAGCTGATTCTGGAGGGTTGAACATGAGATCTTTCACAAATCGCTGAAATGAGAAATGCAGAATTCTTAACACACACACACACACACACACACACACACACACACACACACACACACACACACACACACACAGTCCTCAGAATGACCAGAAGATGGTAATAATGGCGTTAACTGTAAGAGGCATTTGTAGACTGCTGATATGCTTTGTTTGATTAATGTGAAAGGTGTGTGTGTGTGTGTGTGTGTGTTTGTGTTTGTGTCTAGATGATCAGAGCGCCTCCCGCCGGTAAAACATGGCACTGCCGGTCCCGGAGCGGCTGGAGGATAACCGGAGGATTAAAAGCACCGCATTGTCTGGTACAGCCGTGTTGTTTTTGGCGGAGAACACCGTAACTTGTGTCTGAGAGATGATTAACAGAGGCTGTGTTTAATAACAGCATCCCCGATGGCGACCGAATGCAGCCAGCACGCGGTGTTACGCTTTATCGAGGAGAGAGGAGGACGCGTGAAGAACGGGGATTTGGCGGATTATTTTCGAGCGGCGATACCACAAGAGCCCGCGCTGAAACAAGAGGCGAGAGAAGCCTTTAAACGTCACGTAGACACCGTGGCTTACGTGAAGGAGGAGAATGGCGAGAAATACGTTTGCCTAAGGAAGAGATTTTGGGGATGCCCGCGGAGCGCCGGGGGAGAGCGGGCGGACACCGATGACCCTGCACCGGCAGCACGGGCCCGGACGCTCAGCTCAGGTTACGGAACTGCTGATGCTGGAGGCGCAGAAACACACCCGCATATTTCTGAAGAGGGTGTGAACGGCGGAACACCAGCTGAACTCCGCGCGCACATGGAGAACTCAGACAGCAACAGATCCGCCGAACAGCGGCCGAAAGCAGCCGAGCAGCCGGAGGAGAGAGCCGCGGCCACGGGGGGGGAGGAGCGCGATGGACCGGAGAGCCCCGGGTGGGTCGGCAGCAGCCCGGCGGAGCAGCAGCGGGACTCCGGTGAGTCCCCGGGCAGGTGCAGGGAGTGTCCGCGGGCCGACAGCGACTATGAGGCCGCCGCGGTGACGCTAGAGCCGCTGGAGCACGCATGGATGATGAGCGCGTCTGACGGGCACTGGGAGAGCCTGCGCCCGCTGCTGGACACCGAACCCGCGCTCGTGGCTCGGAAAGACTTTGTGACGGGCTTCACTTGTCTGCACTGGGCCGCGAAACTTGGCAAACACGAGCTGATCGTCTTGCTCGTTCGGTTCGCCAGAGAACACCGGGTCTCCGTTAACGTGAACGCGCGCTCCAGCGCCGGATATACGCCTCTCCACCTGGCGGCGATTCACAACCACCTGGAGGTCGTCAAACTGTTAGTCGGAGCGCTTGACGCGGATGTGGAAGCTCGGGATTACTACGGCAGAAAAGCGTGTCAGTACCTGAAGAGCGACGTTGCGCAAAACATCCTGGAGATCGCGGGGGCGTGCGCAGAGGCGGAGGGCGCGTGCGCGGGAGAGGCAGAGGGAGAGGCGGGCCGCTGGAGGCTGTCGAGGGTTCTGCAGTCCAGCTTCAGGCCTCTGAGGATCCAGAACCAGGACTGCAGCGATGAGGACAGCGTGGCCAAGCAGAAACCCCTGCGCAGAAAATCCTCCTTTACTAAGATGAAGCCCAGAGTCCGGCTGCGGGCACAGATAGTCCACAGCACCTCTCTGATGGACAGGTTTGAGAAAGAAGAATCTCCAAAGCTCTCCAGACCCAAATCTAACCTGTTCGGCTGACTGTGCAGATCAGCAGTGTGTTTTAAGAGCAGCGCAGGACTGAAGTCAGACTGTGTGTCAGTACCGCTGAACACTGTCGGGGCTCCGGGATGTTGTGTGGGCTTTTACACCGCTGAATGAACATGATAATGGTGTGTTAATCATGATCAATATTGCTGGAATAATAGACTTTACAGAAGAGGAGAGAAGTGTGCTGTTTACAGAAACTATGAGGACACGAGTTACTGAGATCAGACAGGGCCGAGGCTTAAAGTTCACATTTTAATGTCAATAAATTGAATCTTGTTTGAAATATTAATCAGTGGATTATTTTTCTGTAGATTTCAGTATTCTTGATGTTTCTGTGACCCCTTTGCTTCATTGATTAAATGTATAAAATATATAACTCAGTGTGCTGAGCCGGCCTCAAGCATCCACACTGATTCTGTGATCATTCAGACATGTCGGATATTCCAGGAATATTCAGCTGCTGTAACGAGCATCTTCCACAGCGCTGTGATGTCACACTGTTGCCATAGCAACACATCATCAGCTCTATGACCCGCCCACTGTGAGAGCAGGACAGCGGCTGTTCATAAAGGGGTTATTAATGCTTATTGATGGAGCGCTGCTGCTGCTGCTGGCCTGTCTCTACTACAGCACATCTGCACAGTTTAGTTTACTGTACATAAAATGAGAACAAACCCTGTAAGCATGTCTCCTGAATGTGAAGTGAGGACAGGGTTGCAGGTTCTGATGCGTGCGCAGGGATGTCACTTGTTTTTCCCCTATGAATGTATCCCTGCGTGCAGCACATTTCCCCGCAGGTGAAGCCGAGCGCTCGTGTCCTCTCTGGCCTCCGCACTGAGAGATGTGCTGATCATGTTCAGCTGCTTCTCCTGCAGAGCTCTGAAGTTCACACATGATGTCAGCGAGGGTCTACAGACGACTCAGGGCGCACTCACACTGATGAACTGAACCCAGGCCTGTTTCCCGGATCGTTTGAGAAGTGTGAGTGTTCTGAATCAGGTTCAGGCGGGGTTCAGTTGGCCAGTCCTGATGTGGCAGAGCGAGCTTCACTTGGGCTCAGGTGCGGTACGCTTGTGTGTGAGTGCAAAGCCTAAAACCGAAGACGAGACGTGACTTTTAGTAAGGGACTAGTTCATATGTGTTCATTAATTCTTCCTGTTGAATGAACACGAACTGTCAGAGTTTATTAAAGACTCAAACCCGTCACTGCAGCAGCAGGACTTCATCAACATGTGTGAGACTGCTGGATCTGTTCCGCTCAATATTTAACTGTGTTTCACTGCATCTCAAACCACTAAAACAATGTAACTAAAGCACACACACACACACAACGCACGCACGCACGCACGCACGCACGCACACACACACACACACACACACACTGATCTGCCATTGGATTGAGCAGGAGTGATCCGTCTGTGTGGTCTGAGATCAGCTGTTGTGAGTCTGCTGTACTGATGGTGCTGCAGTCATGTTCATCTTCAGTAAAGCTGCTGTGAATCATGTGAAAGCGCTTTACAAATGACCCTAAAGTGAATATATTCAGTGTTATACCAGATTTTAGCTGATGGACAGAATTTCCCTTAATTTTATGACTCAGTACAGATGTTGATGCTTTAGTCTTCATAATTTCTGAAAAAGATTTAGAAGTATGCAGCTCAATACAGACACATTCAGCTCATGTTGTCCTCCTCTGACAGTGTTAGTGCATCTGCCAATAATTTTATTGCAATTAAATTATTTTGAAATGAAATTCTGTCAGGGATTTGTGATGGGGTCAGAACAGAATCAGAACAGGATTCAGGGGCTTTCAGTAGTTTCAGACTGGAGGCTGGTCCAAGATGAAACTGCATGTATAAGTGTCGTGCTGCGTGTGTCAGAGAATCTGCACAGCTGTAATGCGGTTTACCTTGTATAACAGCTGCTCAATTAGTGAAGGCCTGGTCCTGCTCAAGCTGATCTCTGTCCGTCAAAGTGTCCCTTGAAGTGCTTAAAACACTTTCTGCCGCATCCTTCTGATTATTTCTGATTATACGTTTTCCCCAAGTTGTATTAATGTACCTGAATGATTCTAGGCTGTGATCTACTGTATAAGACTCACACATTGCTCTGACTGATGCAGGACTCGGATATTTTCATCAGGTGAATGTTTTCCCACACAGTGATGCGCGAGTGTGTGCTGCAGGCCTCTGAATGTCTGTAAAGACCTAAATAAATAATCAAACTTCTGAACACATTCAGGCACAAACTGCCTTCAATGCAGAATAGTTTTTGTTGTAGGACGCCTGAGATAGACACAGAAATGAACAGAAAACTCCTCTTGCTTGTTCATCAGCTTTGATGATTTAAATAACAAAAGCTATAGCGCGGCTTATCAAGTATAAAAGCGGCAGCGGCGCATCAGTCCTGCACAGATCCAGCCATGAACAAGGTAAGCTCCACAACCCTTTACACACAATGCTGAACACAGCAGCCCTTTACAGCCGCCCGTTTCACTGCTGTATAATGGCTCAGAAACACTATTGCATTACTATGATGCTATAATATCCAGACCCAAACTCAGACGGTTTGACAGACGAGTGCTCTTCACAGCAGAACACACTGCTGTAGTTGAATGAGTGTAATTTTGGCGTTTGTGTGTTTTAGATTGTTTTCTACGAGGACAGAAACTTCCAGGGCCGCTCCTATGAGACCAGCAGTGACTGTCCGGAGCTCAGCCAGTTTCTGAGCCGCTGCAGCTCCTGCCGGGTGGAGAACGGTTGCTTCATGATCTACGATCGCTCCAACTTCATGGGAAACCAGTTCTTCCTGCGGCGCGGCGAGTATGCGGACTGCAAGAGGATGGGTTTGAGCGACTCTATCAGATCCTGCCGTACCATTCCTCAGGTGAGGCTCTGCGGCCTTCTGTCTGTGTGTGTGTGTGTGTGTGTGTGTGTGTGTGTGTGTGTGTGTGTGTGTGTGCGTGTGTTTGTTTCTCTATGTGTGTGTCTGTCTGTGTATGCTTATGTTTATCTCTGTCTGTCTGTCTCTTTGTGATTGTATTGCAATGTGAACTTCAGAAGTGCCCTAGTGTCAGCCTCACTAGTCTGCATGTCTTGAGCAGCACCGCGGAGCCTTCAGGATGCGGATCTATGAGAAAGAAAACTTTGGCGGGATGAGCTATGAGCTGACGGAGGACTGCGAGTCAACGGCGGACCGGTTCCGGCTGTCGGAGATGCGTTCCTGCCACGTGATGGACGGCCACTGGCTGCTGTATGAGCAGCCGCATTACAGGAGCCGCATGCTGTACCTGCGGCCGGGGGAATACCGCAGCTTCAGAGACATGGGCATCAGCTTCAGGTTCAGCTCCCTGCGAAGAATCATGGAGCCCTGCAACTAATTAACATCCATTACTAATGATTTGGAGGAGGAATTAAATTACTTTCATAATGACTTACTCTTGTTGTGTTTGTCAAGAAAAGCAGAAACAACAGTTGAAATCTTCGTCCAGAAGAAGTGAACTAAAACAAAACCACAAGTGTTCTGGTATGATGGAAACACGAGTTTGGTTAACCTGTAATGATCAAGAAATAATGCAGGACTGTGCTGCTTAACATCCCTTTACATCACTCATCAAATATTTATTGACATCTCATTAGCATAACGATCAGATGACGTTGCTGATTACAGTACAATATTTCTAACATTCCCAGTTGTGTCACCTTGAACAACAAAACACTTTTTATTTAGTCAAAAATGTGCCAGAGGAAAATATCCTGAAAGAATAAAAGATGTGGACAGCCCCGTCCCGCACTGCTGGATCTGAAGGTGCGCTCGGCCTTTCTGCTCAGGGGATGGAGATTTCAGATGAAATATGACGTTAAGCATGACAGTTGATCATTATAGACACACTATATACACTTGATTACAGATTAATCACGCTAAAATGGAACTTTTCCTAGCAAAATCTTACCCTCAAAGAGCAAAGCACAAGGCTAGATCTGCACAACTGTAAGCACACTGTCAGCTTCACACTCTTTTCAAAACACTAAACACACTTACATCACACACAGACGTACACTATGAAGTCATTTCCTTGCCATTCCAAAGCACTGACTGTCAAATGAGCCCAGATGTGAGCCAACCGGTTACAGGGTTTTCCAGCTGCTTATACACATTTTCAAAACAGCGTCACCTTTTTCAAAACTCTACACACAATTCCCAACACTGCACACACAAAATGCAGACTGCCTCATCTCCTTCAGAATGCAACACTGCATCAAAATACCATAAACGCACGTGAGAATGAAGCAATGGCATCACATGGCCAACACTTCTGTCATGATAGGAAATGCATATGACAGCATATGTCAACGCTGTTGCTTTAAATCTAAAGCTCTTTGCTCATCCATAGGCTGATATCTACAGTTTAGTGTAGTGTTCTACAGTGACAGTGATCTGCTGAGAGGAACAGGTACACTGTAAACACATGAAGAAACAAAAAATATTTGTTAGGACAAACATCACTGGTGTAAACAGTAAGCTACAACAAAAAATAAACACACTGTGTGTAAAAACGTAAAACAAGAGTATCTTCTGTAGAGTACAGTAAAGAGCTCAGTTGGTGTGTGGGGTCTTGGTGTGAAAAGCGTCCATGGTCTGTAGAAGCGTCATGCGGGATTAGGGTTGGCCATCATACACTTTCAGCACCAGGCTGAGAAGAATTACTCTATTCTTTTTAGAGAAATTAAGAAAAGGTGAATATAGGGCAGGTGCAAAACTCAATAGAGAGGCAAACCATTTTATTAATTTTTTAGTCCAGAACAGCCTGCTGTCCTGACACCTTTGACATACTTATTGGCCTATACTGGCAGCCGTGCAAAAGTCTGATTATGTAAATTAAAAAGGTTTTCACTAGCGTACTCGCTATGTTTAAGGCTCCTGCACCGACTTCACTGAATCCTCGTGCATCAGCTCCAGGGTCAGCTTCTTCATCGGCTCCAGCATCAGCTTGTGTGTCAACTCCTGACGCTGAACCTAGAAGGTCATCTGGTGTGTCAACACACAGCGACAGCACATTCTGAGGTAACTGTCGAAGTAATCTGTGGTTGTTAAGATAAGAAAACTGTTTGGGTGGTTTTGTCTCTGTTATACTAATTACCAGGCACCATTTGAGGTGTCAGAAGAGCACACAATCGGTCGCCTCTCCTGTCACGGGACCAGTGCATCCTCAACCAGCTCAGTCCAGCTCACAGAGCCGTGTTTTCTGCTGTCTTGATGCTACGGTGAGTCTCTAGCAGAAGGGTGT